TTTGAATAGCTTATCAAAATCTATTGAAGATAACGAGGAGGCAAACCTTGCTCTAAGCAGGATAGGCGAAATTCTTTCCAATGTTGTACGTACTCAAAAAAGATCGGAAAATCTGTGTGACAAACTCTGCCAGGGGCTGGAAAAAGTCGAATCATCAAAAACTACAAATACCCTTCCATCAGAACTAAAGGATTTTTGCAATCGAATAAAACGAAGTGTTGGTGAGTAGACGCTAAACCTTTATTTCTCGATGCATTTTTGTGTAACATACCGATGAAAAGAAAATTATTTTTTTTTCAGAAACAAAATGTCATAAATGATTTCACTAAATTTGTATACTATTTGTATATTTACCAAATATTATGTCGTTGTAATTTAAGGTCAGGAGTACCGACATTTGGGCTCATTGTTGGGCTTGGAGCCGGATGTCTTTAAGAACATAGAGGATGATTATTCAGAGGCAGATGAATGTTTGGAACCTATTGTTTTAGAGTGGTGCAGAAGAGAGGAAAACCTTCCTTGGATCAACTTGTTACTGCTTGTCATACAGTTAATCCAGACATCTTAAAGTATAAGTTATTTATTAATTCAAAAGATATACGTTAAAAGAGAAAGTTCCGGAGTTTGTTCTTACACTAAAGAGTTATGCATCTCAAACGGTGAATTTGATTACAATAAATGTCAATGTTGTCTTCCTCTGATATACCCGTGGATGACGACAACTTAAGGGATATAACAGCTGCAAACTCTTCATAATATACAACGGTTTATCTGCGATGAATTCTAGTAAATCTTTTTCAATATTTTGACGTGTATTTTAACACCAACAATCTTTAAAGTTGTGCTTCCGAATTATGGTTTGGCTCAAATCTCGTTTGCATTGTATCGCACATGGTTTGAAATGGTAACCTGTTTTTACATGCTATGAAAGTATTTCGAAAATAATACATTGTATATATTAAATTTGATCAAAAATGAGTTACGTTAAATGTTGACCTACACTTACTGTTGAATCTTTATAAATGTTTTAAAAAATTCAAATGCATTACATGTATATGAGATAGGTCAGATACTTAAGTAAAATATTAGATGTTACGCTGTTATGTTTACAAAAGATTTCATACATATGTTGAAAATTTGTCAATATGTATAATAAGTCATTGCATTAAAATAATTATACATCCGTGTTGTCATTTTATCTTATCTTCTTTTAAGTTGTGTTTACAAAAGAGTAGAAAACAAGAATATCGTTTTCAAAACGTTCCTTATAAGTGTTTATAAATTTATAATTGGAATTTATAAGTTCCGTCATTTGTTTGATTAAATCAACCTTTTAATTTATTTTGACGAATTTCTTGCTATTTTTGACAGTTAAACCATTACCAGAAATACTAAAAAAAGTGCTTCTAAAACATTACAATTTCTTTTACGGGGAACTGCACGAGATAGCAGTCCTACCGCATTTAGTTGCATCAGGTATACTTACATTAAAACTACAAAGGTATATCTTGAAACCATTGACCAAAGACCAAGGATTATCAAGACTTATTGATGTATTATGTACGAGAGAAATAGTCTTGAGGACTTATCGTTGCTTGGGAAAATTCTGAACAACCTCATATGTCATCAGTCTTAATAGGTACTTTATTAAGAAGAAAAAAAAATATGATTTTCCATCTTTGTGGCAGACATCAAAAACTTGTAAACAAATCGGTAGCAGTTGTAATGCTTAGATGCGCATTTTGATTAGAAATGTCTATTTCGTTAAGTTGGATGTCAAAATGTTTGAAAAATCAAGACCTAACGTAAACGTTGATGAGAAAATTTAACCGAAATAACTTTAAATATGGCTTGACCCGAACAAGTTATGAGAGCTTTTCCTTAATTTAAAATGATCTAAGTTTGATAATAGCAATTTTTTAATAAAACAATTCCCTTTTTTATGTCAATACCGTAGTACTGAGCTACAGGGCTGATGATTTCATCAGGGATTAACAGTCAATCAGCAGAGGTATCGACCCAGTGGTAGTACACGTAATAACATAAAACGGTTCTAATTTTACTAAACTACCGGGTTAGATGCGAATATTCCAAAACGGATGTTTATTCGACAATGATTCAAATTGTTTGCAAATTCCAAATTACAAACACTGAAGAGTTTACTAGAGGATTTATATTTCTGCTTTCCGCAATGTGTTGTTTGATTCTTCCGTTGATGCAATTTTACGATTTATTATTTAAGAATTTATTTGTTTTTTCGCATTTAGTAGCAGACGTAAACACATTTTTGTCAAAACATATCAAACACTGTTTTGCATTCGCTTTCAATTCAATACTAAAGATGTTTAATGCTAAAGTTCTCTTAATTTCAATAATATCAAATAATTGTATATTGCAGGTGCAGTTCCTGACTCAAGTGTAAATAAAGATTCAATTGATGATATGAAATGTCCTGAGGAGAAACTGGGACCTATTAGGTCCGTTTCAATGCTTAACCATCTTATTGGTAGACGACATAATTCTTTCTAAAATGAACTTAAATTTGACGACGGCAGAAGCTGTATATCTGACATATGATATGCTTCAAATTTAGAAACTCAGGCAATTTTAAGTCAGGTAGTAGAACTTATATTTAATGTAAAAGCTGGTTTGAATGTGTATAAATAATAACAGTGGAGAACACACCTTTAACAGGAGGGCATTGCTGTCTATCGACATCGAGAAACAAATTTTGTGCATAGCTATCGACTTATAATAAAATTTGAAAAAGGAAATTATAGTTTAAATTAGAAGTGGACCCGACATGATATGATGATTTTATTCAAACAGCACCACTTATTGTGTGATATTTGTAAAATAAATGTTTTCGATTTCCTATGTTCTCTTCTTAGACCATATAAATTTGATTCCTAGTTCTTTGGATTTTCCCGCTCCTGTTTTGGAGAAATTAACTTTTCAATAAAATAAAAATGATTACCGCTTCCGCAAATTTTTGGTCGGCTTGCCGCTCCAAAATAAGTTTCAATTTTATTTTTTTTCTACATAGACGCTTTTTTGTTGCATATAATGCTATAATCTTTTCAAACGCATATGTGATAGATCGATTTGTAAATAAAAGGTCACAATTCGGGATACCATCATGTATTTGTGTCAACTCATTGCCATGGACAAGTAGTTTTATCCGAAATGTTTCTCGTTTTACCTTTGAAGACCTGTTCTAGGATGCAAAAGTTACAAATCTTTCGTTAGATGACCACAAACACATCAATATATGTTGGGACCATAGTCATCCCCGATCCTTGTTCCAACAGGCATATGCCTATCTATCTTGACGCCTATCTTGGATGAAATGAATTGTAAATACCCATGAATTTTTTGAAAATCACAGAAATATAGATTTTTATGATACCCCATATACCCTTGTTAGCCTTTTGGCATGCTGGCAGAACTCCTCTTTTGTTAGGGGGGAATTTAAAGAGCTCCAACAAGACCAAGGTGATGGTGGACTAGCAGTTATTGACATGGTATTGTGACTGGCATGCTCATAATAATTAGGGGTGTGTAATTGGTTCAACCACTTCTAGTCAAGCTAAAGAGTTGCATTGCAGCTTTTAGGAGCAAAAGGAAGGAGCAAATAATTATAACCCCTTATCATCAGTGAAGTTCACCTATGAAATCTCAAACGACAAAATGTCGTTCTAAGATTTTCATGTAATTAAAGGTCAAAGATTTACATTAAATGGAATTCTTGACCTTGAAATACCAAATTCCAAGTGGCTTTAAATAAATCATGAGCTAAAGTATGATCGGATTTAACTAAATGATCCAAATATTTAATAGAGGACATACTATTAATAATTTCGTCCTTAAGGTAAATCTAGATTATTCAGCTCTACTTGCATCGTTAGAAGTTTTACTATAACTCCTAACAATTCTTTAATAAATCTAATGTGAAATGTTTCATAAGGTTCAGAGTAACGAATATTAAAAGCATTCTCTATACCCCATACTTCACAACAATATAACAAAATTAGTGATAATAACTGAGTCAAGAAGTTTCTCTAGTGGTTTACATATTTTTGTTTTAAACAACTGTTGTTTTTATTTTAAATTTTAAAATAAGCTTTTCTAGCTTTTTCCATCATCATGGAAATGGTTAAATTAAAGTTACCATTGCATTTAAGCATTATACCAATTACAGTGCTTTTTGTTGCCAATGGATATACTGGTTTAAACTCTGTCACAAAAAGTTCTATCGATGTTGCAATTTGTACATCATTGTTGAAACAAAGCAGGAGAAGGATGTAGGAATAACTTCGTCTGCACTAGCGGACGAAATGATACTTTGAGATTATTTTAACTTGTGCAAGATGTTTTCGGAGGGAAAATACCGATACTTTCGAATGTATAGAACTGGCATTGCTAAGATCAATTGAACAGTTCCGATTACTATCATTTTGACATTTTATACTAAATGATCTTTTAGTTAATGGTCAATTATCAATAATAAATTGATGTGCAGAAAACGCACAATTTCATTATTCTGTTAATCATTTATTTCTCTAATCAGTATTTTTTTTACCTTATTCTTATTTTGACAAAATTATTCATTATATTTGTAGCACCCCATTGTTCTCAATTTTGTTTGTCAATATTTCTCTATTTTTTTTTTTTTTGCCATTATTCTCTATTATGTAAACCCCATCCACACCCACTATTATGGCATTATTCTCTAGTTTGACCTATTTTTCTCTAATCTTATAACTGTTGCCCTTTTTGCACTTATATTCCATTATTCTCTATTCTTAAAACCCTATATACGGACCCTCTTATATCATGTTTTTATAATATAGTGCAAGAAAATCGATTATTTGTAGTAATAGGTTGCAAATTTAGATTTTTTAGTATGATTAATGAAAGGTCATTATGTGTCATAGTCTTCCTGTTTGAAATTTATCTTATTTGTTTAAGGTGGCAATGGTTTTACCCTTGTTGAACCCCGATAACCACACCATGCAAACACAAAATAGTCTACTGTATTTTGCGAAATGTCTGTTAGTAGGTCAATTTGATGACTATTACTGCGGGGGTGTTTTACGACATTGACTGGCTATAAAGCCACCGCACACATTTTACATTTAATTCAATTCGCACGTACAGTGATTTAACTAAATGAATTGCATCAGGTAAATCGTTATTTGATAAATAATAGATTATTTATAGTTTTTTTAGAATGTGTAAATATACTACTTCCTTTTTAATCCGTCTCTCATATAATTGTTTTTAGAATGGCATTAATAATTTTTAAAAAGTTTACTTTTACAAAGTGAAATGTGTATACTGTATTATTGATGGTGAAACGTTAATAAATTATTATTGTATTGTTGTATATTTGTAATAGCTTTTTATTATTCTCAGTTCATGCTAATATCCATTTTGAATACATTGAGACATCATATTCATGTATGGAATAACCTTATTATAATTCCAATTTACACAGTTATTCATCTCCTTATTTTTATATCATTGTCATTAAAATGAAGGTTAAATTACAAACACACTAATACTATTTGTTGAAAATAAATCAGCAGCTGTTGACGTCCTTGTTCAATAAATAATATGTCAGAAGAACGAAGTACGTTAACGCAGATTTTTAAACTACTCAAAGATCATTTTGAAGACTACACAAAAATTTCGGATACACAAACTGACAAATTCATACAACGGAGTAAAAAAGGTGTGCGGGAATCAAGAAATTTAAAATGTAACAGTTGTCCATCATGTTCAAAGTTCTTTCAATTTATGGACCGTGCAACTTCACCAATTGTTTTAGAAAATGGGAAGGAAGAAAATGTTTTACAAAAATCATGTAATGAAGAAGAGAGTACAAGTAACGTTCCAGTGTTGTTGGATTTCCAACATAAAAATAACCAGGACGATAGCTTGATGCTGTCATTAATTCGGGAAAATGCGGACATGAAAATCAAAATGCAAGAGGTAAGAATTAAAGACGATACATTGTATACATGATTTCGGATTACACACAATATTTTAAACTTATATGTTTGGATAACTTGCTGTTATGAAAAGAGTATTTGTTATATGAAAAATAAAATACGGCCTTCTGATGTAAATTTAAAGGGGATTGAATTAATCTTGTGAACTATAATAAATATAATATGTATTTTAACAAACTATACTATGCATTTAAATATAAAAGTACAGATAAACAAAACAAAAACACAGGTTATCTGCAACCATTTTCTCTAAGATTTCACACCACGTTTATTTTAATTTACACAGCTCTCTACATGTAAATATTTTACCTATTAAGATTAACTTCAAGAGAACCAAACATTTTGTGGATTGTACATTTAGCACTCCAACTACTAAATATATCACTCTGATTTTCTGAAACATTTATCAACATAACACAAAGGATATGTGTTATGATCGGCAGTCAGATAACTGTCCGTCAGAGTCCTTGAACGTGGATGTAAGCATTAACTCATAAGCATATCATGTATTATAGATACCCTTAAATTGTTATCGAAATCTGGACACAAAAAAAACTTGTGTCCAAAATGGTTTACAATTTTTTTTTCATTCAACAAAAGGTATATTCATGTAAATGTATTCACTAATGTAATTAACACCCAGTCTTTGATAGAACCATGCAAAAGGCTTATGAGTGGGTCTACATGACATGTCAACCAAATGTAATGAAATTTTGCACATATGTTATGATAGTCAAGAGAAAAACAATTCTAACTTTAAAATTTGATTGAAGGCTATTTTTAGATTTTGCAGCGCCATCTATTATACAAGGCTTAATTTCCAAAAATTTCCACAAAAATGTCACAATTTTGTTACTCTGAATATGCTAAATATGGTTATGTTTAGCTGATATTTGAATTGATTTTTATAATAAGCATCATTCGTCCTTCGAAACTTGACAATATGTTTTTGCTTGAGTATAGCTATATTTTGAGGCTGACCGGTCTAAAAAGGGCATTTTGGACATTTTTGGGATACTTCTTAAAAAGATCAACAAAAAGACATGAAATCTTTTAAAGTACTATGATTTTTTTAATGTTTTAAATATTTCTATAAAGGTTTACATGTGTGCTACAAGTTTTATGATTTTTGAGCTGGGGTCTTCAACACCGTTACCATGGCAACGGAATAAAAATGTGTAATTTTCACGTATTTTTCACAATAATCCATGTATTTAATCATGAAAACTTATTCATCTTTTGACACTGGCTTATGATATTTGACATGAAGGTGTATTACAATAAGACAGTGTATCTCATAAAAAATTAAAACCGTCAAATGACCTTGACATTTGACCTCAAGGTCAAAATACTTGATTTTTTACATTTTCTTATCTGGAGCATACCTTTTCCTCTCCCTTGACAAAGTCTTTTAATACTTGACACACAAGTGCAGCACCTCAATATGATGTGTCGCGTACCATGGATGATGACCTTGATCGTTGACCTTCAAGGTCAAATAAAAAGTCAAGGTCAAATATTTTAATTTTATATGTCACCCTAAAACCAAACATATTCTTTCTTGCCATGTCAATATGAAAATGAAGAGATGTGGACTGGTTGCTTATTAGACAACTATCCACACAGTTGAAATGAAGTGGTAGTAAGCAATTTATAGGCCACTGAACGTGCAAGACCTTTGCAGTGCAGCTAAGGGTTTTTCCCTGGGGGTCATGCCCCGCCCCCTCATATAAAAATGTTGTAATATAGATTTATCTAAAAATAAGGGTTCAGAACCCCATCCTTAACCCATATTTAATCTTAATTGCCTTTCTAGTTCATCATGGGGGACATGCCCTGCCCCCTACATACCATTGATGGTAAAATAGCTTGAAATATGTTCATATCACTACCTCTAAATCATATATATATTCTCAATCAGCATGACAGCACCTTTGCGTACACCATATATGTTTTTGATGTGGTTCGTGCCCTTACATACACTGTTCAGATACCCACCCCTAAACCATACACTCTAATAAATATATCATGACTAGACCAATTAAGTATAACATATATTTTGTCCCTTATGCCCTACCCCCTCGTTTCATAAATTGGTAAATATATTGAAAACAGCGCATATTTCCACGCATTAACCATATATTCTTACTTGCAATGACAATCTTTTTTTACCAGAGTGACTTCTACAGGGGAGACATTAGTTTTTAATTCACTAAAACAGTTCTACCTAGTTGTAATTAAATTCAAAGACAATTTGGTAGAATTCTGTCTTTATGCAGAAAAATTTGAAATACTGTTAATTCAGAACTTAATGTGTGTAATAATATTATTGCGTATTCATGGTGACCATCAAAGATGTGAGATTAATTAAAGCAAATTTAGATTATATTGAATATTATACAAAAAATGAAAATGAAACTAAGTTCATGTCACAGTCTGGGCCATATAAGGCTAACTACATGGTGTGGGGGTTTCCCAGTTTGTTGCAGATCGTGTGGCGACCTCTGGGTGTACATTTTTGGTTAGTTAATTTCTGGGATGAAATGTTGTCACCTTGCCATATACCCCATATCTGTTCTTGTTGTCCCCCCAGCATCACATTGCGGCCTGGAATATATAAATGCTGTTCGTTCGTCTGAATTGTAAACTTTCTGTCTAATATATGTGTTTATATAACAGAAATATTTGTGAATGTATTATGACATGCATCTGTTGCATCACAATTTGGTACTAAAATGATTTTCTTGAGTGTTTGGTCCTTGGATCCAGCATGAACTGTATATTCAAGTCTGGCAGTTGAATTCTAAGTTTGACTACATTTTGACAGTCTACGAATCATGACTAGTTATTTTTGTAAACACCAGCTTTTTATCTAATGGAAAAGATTGCCCAACTATAAAAATACAGTCTCTGAAACTATTTTCAAAGTACAATTTAAGAACAAAGGGCCAGTGTGAGCTTTTCCCATCAATTGGCGTCAGTCGTCCGTTGTGGTCGTCCGTTAACTTTTACAAAAATCTTCTCCTCTGAAACTATTGGGCTAAATTTAATCAAACTTGGTCACAATCAGCATTGGGGTATCGAGTTTTAGAAATTGTGTGCGATGACCATCCCTCTTTGTTCCAATCAACATGGCCGACACGGCTAAAAATAGAACTTACGGGGTAAAATGCAGGTGTTGTCTATTATCTTGAAAACTACTATAGATAGAGAAAATCTGACAGGGGCAGGAATTTTCAAAATGCTGAAATATCCCTACCATCTATTCACGTCAAAACTGTAAGACGAGCTCGTGTTGGAGTTTTTTGCCCTTAAATGACATAATTTTTGCCTATTATTTTAAACTCTGCAATAGATAGATACTTTACAATACAAAATTCGTAAGGGGTTCCTCAGAACCCTGTGTCTCACCTGTGATTGCTGCTGTCAGTGTAAAAGTGTAATGATTACCTAAAAAGTGAGTTCATTTGTCAGTAAATACAAAATAAAAAAAAATCTATTTTTTTTTGGTGCTTTTTCTTGGTCTTGAAGATTAGCGACTGTCCATTTTTCATAACAATCCATGTAGGTTTACAAATTCATCATGTCAAAATAATTCAATTCCAGATTGCCTGTAAATGTAAACTAAAAAACTAAGTCCATCTAATTAAAAATTCTTTCAGAAAAATACTGAAATAAAAATAATATTTTTTCAAAAGTTTGCTTCAGACATTATCATAAAAATGCTTCTGCCAAAGTTTTATAAAATTGTATGAAGGTTAACCAAAGTAATTGATGTGTAACAAGTTTTAACCCCAGACTGTAACTACTTGTTAACTGTAAAAAGAACTAAGTCTATTTATCAGTAAAATACGTAAAATGAAAATAAATATTTAATTAATGAAGATTTTTAACAATTTTTTGCATTTTTGCCTAGTATCTTGAAAACTACAATCTATAGATAGAAACTTTAAAAGCAAGAAAAAAAATAGATTTATGATTATTTCATTATAAATTACAACTTGCAAATTTTGACATTTTTCAACAGAATCATAGAAAATAATCACAATCAGTGTTTTGGTCTAAACATTCTCTTATTACACCTTGGTATGCTTTGTTTTATATTTTATTTTATGAAAAGAAAGGAAATATCGAAACACTTATGATATATCAGAGCAGAATGCTTAATTTGAAGAAAACATAGATACTTTTTGAAGATTTTAGAAAATGAATTTTTTACCGAATTATCTCCCTTTGTACAATAGAAAATCAATATTCATGGCATCATTTATTGTAATTGTATTATCTTCGTTGTTAGTTTAACTTATATTGTTAAGTATAATAATGCTTCATAAAGTTTATATATATACATTTCCAAAATTATCTACAGATTGATATTTATAATTCATTGATTCTGTGAGAGAAATTGTAAATTTTGACATTATTCAAGGAGAATTCTAGAACGTACTAAAACAATAGCCCACCAATCGTATATGCTAAAATGCGTTATTAACTCTGTCATTTAAAATAACCAAATAGAGATATGTTTATATTTCAAACATGTTAAATGGACCGAGAGCTGGTAAGTTTAAAAAAATGTAATTTTAAGATTTAAAAAAAAAAATACTGGATTATCACCCTTTGTACCATAGAAATTCAATATTTATGGCATCATAAATTGTAATTGAACTATGCTCATTGTTACTTTGACTTATTTTGTTAAATATTACAGTGCTTTTTAAAAAGAAACACTTACATTTCAGAAATTATCTACAGAATACTATTTTCAATTCATTGATTTATTGAGAGAAAATGTAAATTTAGGCATTTTTCTAGTAGAATTCTAGAATGTACTACAATGAGACCCCAGCAAGTTTACTAGCTAAAAATGCATAATTAGGTATTCCAATTAATAAAACATAGGGAGTTATCTTTATATTTTTAATGGACCAAAGTCTGGATAGTTTTAAAAATATGTACTTTTTATGATTTTCTGAAAATACTTTTTTACTGGATTATCTCCCTTGGAATAATCCACAAACTGTTTCTTGTAAATTTAAGTACTGATGAGTTACTAAAGCTTCAACACTTGATTATTCAATAAATCATCATTCTTTATCTCGTTGTTTTCTGCATTCATAAGTTTCAGGGTGTTGAAATTGGTAATTTTCATAGAAAAATACAGCCTTCAACATGAGGAAACTGGTTCCATGTACATTACAGCATCTACTAACTGAAAGGCATGGGAACCAGTTGAAATATTTGTTTTATGGACTTCTTTCATAATGTTGTTTAAGCACACAAAGTTTTAATCAAATCTGATGACCCCCCTTGTGGACTGTTTTGCATGGTTTCATGGTAGTCTTGGTGTTAAACATCAACCACAAACGCAACATGTTCTGTCGGGAAAGTGTTACTTTTATAAGAGATGGTATAAATGTGATTGTTTTTTTTTTTTAGTGTGACGTCTCAGGTTGAGCACAAACTGAACTTGCTACAGCAAATTGAAAATGCTACTTTAAATCTGTGGTCCTCCATTATAGGGTAACATTTAAGAAAACGTAAATGTAGCCTCGAATAAACATGATTTGTTTATGTATAACTTTGATTTGTTAATGTATAACTTTGATTTGTTAATGTATAACTTTGATTTGTTAATGTATGTCTTTAATTTGTTAATGTGTAACTTTGATTTTTACACAGATCAATCAGCATTTAAAAAGCATATCGAAATCTATAGAAGACAACGAAGATGGAAACCTTAGCCTTAGCAGGATAGACAGAATTCTCTCCAAGGTTATACGTACTCATAAACGATCTGAAATTCTGTGTGACAAACTCTGCGAAGGACTGGAAAATCTCGAGTCAACAAAACCTATAAATACCCTTCCATCAGAACTAAAGGATTTTTGCAATCGAATAAAACAATGTGTTGGTGAGTGGAAGCAAAAAAAATGTAGTTTTGTTTTGGTTCACGACGAATTCTTTTTGTAATGTACCTTTGAAAATTAAAATATAACTGTTTTTAGTAACAAAATGTCGTATGCGATTTCTTTAAATTATTCTATGTGTATATTTACCAAGTGTTATGTCGTTGTAATTGTAGGTCAGGAGTACCGACATTTAGGCTCAGGTTTGGGCCTGGAGCCTAATGTTCTTGATAGAATAGAGGATGATTATTCAGAGGCAGATGAATGTTTAGAAACAATTATTTTAGAGTGGTGCAGAGGACAAGAAACCCCTTCCATGGACGAACTTGTCACTGCTTGCCATACAGTTAATCCAGATATCTTAAAGTGTAAGTTATTTTTTTACATCTGAAAGTCATTATACTTTTTTTTAAATGGGGAAAGACAAAGTTGAAACTCAACTTCCGGGGGTCATTCTTAATCGACAGAGTTCATGCATCTTACATGGTCATTTTGCTTTTCGATTCAAATGTTTTTAAAGGTCTTCAGTTGGCAAAATGAAATTACCATGTACTAGGAGGATATACAAGAGAATTGGAATTCAATATTGTCTTCCATTCATAAATTTGTAGATGAATACAAACCCTTTATCAACTTATAGAATACACTTGCACACTTTTTCTAACATACAAATGTATATAAATTTAACTGCGATATAGTCTATTAAACTTTTTATCAAGGTATTATACCACCATTGTTTTTCCCCTATTAGTCTTTGTTAAATTTGCACTTTTCAAAAAATTGTGCAGATTTTATCTTTGTTTCAAATAAAAAAATACTTGGCATGAGTAAAGTTTTATCCTGTCCAGTACTACAGACAAAATTTCACATAACATTTCATTGCATATAAGATAATAATCATCACTGGAAGTTAACCAATCAAATTTTCACCCATTTTATTCCTGTGAACAAGCTTTAGTAACCATGTGACCTCAAGTTTCCAAAATATTCTATTGAAACACCAAATAAAAAAAGAATGATTGTTTGAAACACCAACGATATATGGTCAGATCATATGTTTTCGTACGTCATATGAATTCGTACTATGCATGCTTTCTCAATGGAAAGTGTGACGTCACAATCACAATGCATTCTTAATAGAACGAAAACCCATGAGACGAGGATATGTTTATGACTCAGAATTTTTTTACTGCAATGAAATGCAGGATTCATTTCCTACAACCGTCAAATCTAAGGGAATATTTTTTTTTCGACCCTTTTTCGTATGCATCCGGATGTGACGTACACCTCAACATTTTAACGTTAATTTTATTCACAACAGTCTTTTAAATTGTGGATTTCCACTGGACGTTAAGCAACCAACAAGCAATCAATCAAATTGTGTTTCCAAATTATTGTTTGATTTAAATCTCGTTTGCCATATATCCTTCGAGTATTGCACAAGGTTTGAAATGGGTATCGGGTTTCACACGATATGATTTTCAAAATACTGTATGTTATAAGTTTGATATAATAAAAAAAAAAAGGGAGTATGTTAAACGTTAACATACAAAACTGTTAAAAAACTTTAAATAAACAAAAAATCAAAAGCAATATATGTATATGAGATAGGTCAGATACTTAAGTCAACTGAAGTTTTGGGTGTTTCACTTTTCCGGAAATCTCTATTCATTGATGTTATGTAATAACTCATTTTTTTACAATAGCTTTAATAATACATAAATATTTTAACGATGTATAATACCGGAATGTCAACGCATTAACAATTGCATGTATGTTGTCATTTTGGTTTTCGTTTTAAGTTGTGTTTACAAAAGAGTAGAAGTATTGATAAATTGACAATGGGAATTTGAAAGCTTCTTCATTTGTCTGATATAATTAATTCCATCTAAGTTAGAAGAATTTCTTGCTATTTTTTGCAGGTAAACCATTACCAAGATCACTTAGAAAAGTGCTTCAGAAACATTACAATTTCTTTTACGAGGAAATGCACGAGATAGCAGTCCTACCGCACTTAGTTTCATCGGGTATACTTACATTCAAACTACAGAGATATATCTTGAAACCAAAAACCAAAGACCAACGATTGTCGAGGCTTATTGAGGCATTAGGTACGAGAGATAATGGTCTTGACGAACTTATCACTGCCTTGGAAAAATCCGAACAACCTCACGTTTCATCAGTCCTAAAAGGTACTTTATTTTGCCGTTGCTGTTTAGTAGGCAAAATTATAATTGTCCTTCTCCTTGGCAGACATAAGTTATTTGTACCAATTTACTGCATTTCGACAAGTAATTTCCCTGTCATGATGCGCGACGCCAAAATGTTTGATGATGATGGATTGTTGTTTTAAGTCCAGCGCCAAATTAATTATAGGTTTCATAACAAGTGAGAATTATTCATGTTTTCAACGGCTCCTTTATTATCATATTAAAATTAAATAACTCGAATTAATATCAAGTGATATCCAACTCTCACGAGTTGTTAAACCTATGCCTCTTATGCCAACGGACAACACTACCATTGTGTTAAATTAAAATTTCAGCGAAACATTGATCTCGTCTTTTGCACATACCAATATGACGTCATGTGTCCTGTTCCGGCGTCAAACTTTAACATCAGACATTTTAAAACTAATTGTACGCTTCAGAATGTAATAAAATTTGACAAAAAGAAGATTTTCATGTGACAAGTTTAATTGTTTTGTATATCATTGAAGAAATCACATATGTCCGTTGCCATGAACGAAATGTAAATCGCCTTAACCTTTGGCAGTCATCAATGACCTAACGAATAGCCAATTGAAATGTCTTAATATCGGCGCATGATGCTGGAGGAGCCAACAAATTTAACGTAGTTTTTGTATCACTTTTTCACATCACACTCCGTGCAGTGTTATACAAGAACTATCTCTTCATGCAAGAAATAGACGACAGGCCACTACCATAAGAGAAGTGCATATTCAGGACGAGAACATGTTAACCTAATGTGAATATCAATCCTGCTTTGTACTTGACCTTCACGCTGAGTCGAATTTTGAAAGTGCTATTTCACAAGGTAACAGTCCGCCGGAAGACATGTAACCATACCCGGACACATTATTCTAAACCCAAGTCGACCAATTTTTGCTCTTACTCCTCAATGTCGCGTTCTTATCGGAAACGCAGCAAATACCAACACGGCAGGGGTTCCAACTCACGACCTCCCGCATTCGAGGCGAACACGCTTTCACGCGACTACTGATGCGGTTTAAATATGTTTAAAGTACAAATCGATACAATCGACGAATAGTATAACGAATACGATTTTAATGTACAATAATAATTTATTACATGGATACAATTTTTAGAATGTTCAAATGTTCAATTGTTCGAAAGTTCACAGGTTGTCACACGGACACGTATTCATATAGTGGTATATTTTCGGTCCTAGCTAGATTAATTCTTGTGGTAAATGAATTCCAGCCTATCAACGAGGGGGAGACCTAATGGAATCTGATCTTTCTTTTTCTTTTTCTTTCCTAGTATTGATATCGTCTGCGTTCCTGGTATTGTACAAAGTTAGCAAATGTCCACAGCATATATGTACTAGCTTTTGTTTTAGGTTCCGTGTTTCGGACAAGGTTATTATTTGCCCGCAGGATATATATATTAGTAACACTGGAATAATATTCACTTAAGTTTGTCAATTGTCACTTCTGTAATTCTTTTAATCACTATGTATACAATAAATTTTCCAAAGCTTATTGTATTACGATTGTCAAAATAATTGTAACACCGCCTGTATAATCTGTTAATGCATTACATATTTGTCGTTATGTAATTAAATAATGTCCTAACCCGAATTGTGTTACAATAGCAGACATAACCAAAAAAGGACAAAAAAGGATACTCATATCCGGACAAGAAATCAATTATATGCATAAGGGAGATATATTACTCAATTTCAAATGATTTCATGATTTCAACAGCGAATTTCAATAAATCAATATCAATATTTTCATGACAGTACCAAAGTACTGAAGTGCTGGCCTGATAATCAACAAATGATCATACAGCCCACCAGCAGAGGTATTAACCCTGTTGAATAAATAATATAAACTGTACCAATTCCAGTAGTAAGCACTTCAGTGCTGACATGAATTGTCATTGGTATGGTCATAATTATACATTTTAGACTGTTGACAAAATATATTATAATTAATTTGAATAAAAGATTTCATTTTTGTTAAATTTCAAAAACATGAAATAATTATTCATTTCAGATTCAGTAACTGATTTAAGTTTGAATGCAGATCCAATTGATGGCATGGAATTTCGTGAAGAGAAACAGGAACCGTTTAGGCCCGTTTCTATGCTTAATTCTTTTTTAGGTAGACGACACAATTCCTTCTCCAATGAACTTGAATTTGACGACGGCAGAAGCTGTATATCTGAGATATCATTTGCCAGTGGATCTTCTAATTTAGAACCTCGGGCAATTTTAGATCAGATAGCAGAACTTCTACTTAAAGCTGGTTTGAAATTGTCTAAATAATAGCAGTGGAGAACATGCCGTTAAAAGGGCATTTTTTGTCTTCATCTATCGAAATTGAATATCAAATTATGTGCAAACTTATCGACTTAATGTAGAGTTCAAATTTGAATGAAACCCTACATGATATGACGATATTATGCAGACAAAACCAATTATTATGTAGTATTCGAAAAATAAATATTTTCAATTTCCTATATTTTTTTCTTATGATTTACCACATTCTTGTTTGAAAGGACAGAGAGATAAATGACAAAATAATAACAGATAGCTATATACAGGTCCATAACATAGCTTCATTTACACTCTACAACACAACTGTCCAAGGTTAGACGAAGGGAAACTGTAATTCAGTGGTTGTCGTTTGAAGTTTGTACCAGTTTTGGATTTCGTTTGTTGTTTTGTACATACATCAGGTCGTTGCTATTCTATTTTGAAATGTTTTACGGTTTGTTATTTGGGGTCAATTATAGCTTTATAGATAGAATATGTTTTGTTTATTGTTGAAGACCATATGGTGAACTACAGATGCTTACATCTACGTCATTTGGTCTCTGGTTGATAGTGGTCTCATTTGCAATCATACCACATCTCATTATTTCATATTAGTATCATTGAATGTTAATTAATACTAGCGTTGGTTTTGGCATATCATCTTTATCTTTACAGTGAACACTATAAACAAAATAAGACAATTTGGTCAATTACAAAACTATCAAACAAAGACCAAATGATGAGATGAGGGACACTATAGGTGAGCAAAACCCCTACAGTATAGTAATTTATACGTTACAAAATGTAAAACAACTCAAAAGATAAACAACAATGACGTGATTCATTTACAAAATAATAAATGATAAACAAATATTTTAAGTAGCAACAAACTACAACCACTGAATTACAAGCTCTTGAATATTCTGTATATACTGTATATTTATCAGGATATATTCTATTTTTATATCGTCGTGACACTATTTTAATGAACCCATAAATTCGATGGTAAGTACTTTTTATGATCCATTACCCTAATAAAGAACTTAAAACAAAGTATTGTAAAAAAAAAGAGTCAAGTGTAGGCAGAAGGTAAATTAATTAAATAAAACACCAAACACTACAATAGGTTGCCGTCAATATACTTATTTTGTTTGGTAGTTCTTACTTAATGTGTTCCTTGATCAATGGGAAATAACAGTTACAAAGAAAAGTCACACTAATTCAAGTTCTAAATTACAATAAAATAAGTAAAATAAATCGGCATTACCGGAAAACACGCCTTCAATTAAAACAAATTTAAACAAGTTAAAGGCTGGCACTGCAAACTGATGCTCCCTGAACTGCACATTTTTTTAAGGAAATCATTTTCATTTCAAAGCTTCAAATTCTATAATACCAGAAGGATAAATAAAATGGCTTTTATTTCTGATTTTTCATCTGTATAAATATGTAACAATTCATAGGGCGATACCATCTAGAAAACAGCGTAAAACAAATATTTTTTTTAGTAGCACTGTCTTTTACCTTTGACCTGTTGACCCTATAATAATTTGGCTACTTTCCCCCACCCTATATATTCTACCAGTATAAGTTTCATTATAATCAAGTAAAGAAAACTCAAGTTATCATCCGGACACTATTTTCCGAAAGTTGTTCATTTAAATAATACAGACAAGGCGATTATTTTATGAAAGAAATAATTTTAAGAAAGAATATCATCCTTCAAATTACTCAATATTAAATAATTCACAAGATGGGAACAAATCTTATACATGGATGCAATGTTAACATTGATAGTTTAGGTGTATTTCCAAACCCATGCGTAGTTATATAAATACATTTGAAATTATTTAATACGTCTATATGCATCAGTCAATGTAAAGGCCGTCGAAAGACACAAACACCCTAAATGATAAAAAAGTCTTTTTAGAGAATATAATTCTTTCGGTGGAGAAACCTTTAGTAATTAATCCTATTTGAACAAGATAAGTGGAAGATGGATTGATGACGGTTTAATGTTCAGTTGCAAATAGCACATGCATTATCAGGACGATAACGTGACGAAGAAATATTAATATTGTAATACCCTGTTTGATACTAGTACGAAACGCTGAATCGGAATGTTAACTTTCTAGATAACAAGTTAACAGTCCAAAGAAAGACGTGTCGTCTAAGCCGGACACATCATCATGCTGACTCCGAGCCAAACAGTATACATGCTATAACGCCTACATCTCGTACTGTTGGCAGAGAAGAAGTTCTTTGTTTGACCATGGTAGAAATGGAACCCTACGATCTCAAAACCTCTCGGCGTACACACTTTCACAAGAATCAAAGGCTTGATTTTCTGTTGGCGTTTTCTGATACCAGATTTAAAGAATGCTCTTGATTCAGATCCAACTTCTCCAAGTAAAAACTGATTTTTATATTTATGCACAATCCTTTTACTATAAATCATATCAAAATAGTATGCTTTGTTAAAATTATTATGGTAAAGTTTAGGTTTCTGGTTAAAGGTATTGAGATAAAAGTAAATTTCCAGGATAAAGGTTATTCATGGAAAATTGTATGACACACGTCGACAATAAACAAATCCTGCAAAAAATTACTTACTTAGTGAAGATAATTTGTGTGATTAATAATATACAGAGTGCAAAATTATCTTTTTGTTTTTGCGTGATTTTTACATGAACCTATACTTACATGAATATAGTAAGATAAGCAAAAATAAAATACTAATTTTCTGATAAATATTCAAAAGTTGATTATCTTTTTAACTTGGAATTTGCAGGATTTTCAAATCTCAGTTTGACTACATCTTAAAAAACAAGAAGGAGGGGAAAACCAAGAGATACTTCAATTTGAAGAAAAATTAAATTTCATTGACGAAATAACCATTTTCAATTTCAAAGTCTTCACACAACCAACAGTCTTTTTGCATCGATATTTGTTAAAACGTTTTTTTTTTCTTTCTTAACAACCCTAACTTGTACTCCAATACAAATATATTCAGAATGATTAAATATGTTAATACGCCACCTCTATATCTTAGTCAGCAAGGGAGATGTTTATTACGCCCATACAGGACAAGATTCGTTTTGACAGTGGAAAACTACCATTTAAGAGTTGTGCTTCAAGAATGGCATCTGTGGTCATTTTGATGACATACTTTTTGTTTTTGTCAAACACTTGACGATAAGATATAATGGTTTTGACAACAACTAATTATCTATGTACATGTGTACATGTATGTAATGTGTACGTAATAGATAATAATCGATTATGATCATTATAACCTACATGAGTACTGAACACAGGTCAGTACACTGAGGTTTTAGTATCGTGTAAATATATATTATTGTGTATTTACATTATACAGAATTATAGATTCGACATAGGGAACGACCATTTAACTTTGAGGAGAAAGTGCTATTTTTGTTTCATTCATAAAAAAATATCCATACAAACATCAAATTATTTGTTGTGTCTCGCCAAGCGAATATGCATTTAAGAACTTAACATTTAATATTCAAGGGAAAAGAAAAAACTCCCAATCAGAAAATTTAGTTTTTACTTCATGCTAATGAAAATATTTATTTCTTCAAAGTTGGGAATTATAATTTTAAAAAACTATACCCCCTCAGAATTAAATATATATATCTATAATACCATATTGAATTATTGCATGTTAAAAAAAAGGTTGACAATGAAAAAAGCCTTAGAACAACATTTTCGGTAAAAGGTAAGACTAAAAGTATTTATTGGAAATCTAGTTGCAACTTCGACTATACAATATCACGGATTGATATCATTAGCCTAAATGAATATATTTTAACGGTTATATAGAGTTCGATTCTATAAATATATATATGTATAAAGGGTCTGGAGATTGGTGCAACAATTCTGATGTCATAAAAGATATGTTTTTACGAATAAGACGAAATTATATCGTTATGAAAAAATTCCTGTAAAAACAGTTTTTTTTCATTGTCAACCTTTTTTGAAAATGCATCTATTATTTGTAATACTAGGTTTTAAATTTAGATTTTGTTAGTATGATTCAATGGAAGGTCATTATATGTCATAGACTTCCTGCTTAAAGTTTATCTTATTTGTTTAAGGTTACAAAAGCTTTAACCTTGTTGAACCCAGATACTTGTTATACCAATACAGAATAGTCGTTTTATAAATAGTCCCGTCCATGAACCAATCCCAGCGTTACAGGTCTATTCTATTTCTGTTACATCACAATAAGGTGATCCATATATGTGGGATGTTTTGCTTTAAGTATATATATTCACTTAAATTTCTTAAACTGTTAAGACCTGATTTGACATTTCTTCGGTAGATTGTTCTGTGCTAAATTATTAAATTAATATAAGTTTATGCATCTACGTATTTTTGAAAGGACTTTCCGAAACTGACGATCTGTGGTAATCAAATAGTCTACAAGAATTTTTTCTGATTTAATGATATTACACTTGGTGTTACGGATATCATTTTCATTTCATATTTAACCTAGGTCGTACATCCTCATCAGGCATCCTAGCCTAATCCATTTTTATTTATTATAATATTCGATAATTATTACTTTTTAATTACAATTAATATGTTTTATCGTGTAACGTATCAATTGAAGATACATTTTTTGGCATTACACTTGGTGAATCTGCAATACACTTATAGTTTAATGTCAATTCTTTATCTTATTATGCCCTTGCCGCAGCGGAGGGGGCATTAAGGTTTACTTTTGTCCGTCCATACGTCCGTTTCCGTTCTGTAACTTTAGTTTGCCTCAAACAAATATTATGAAACTTATACACAATGTTTATTTTAATCAGATCAAATTCGAATTTTGGTGGCGTCCCTAAAATCGTTATGGAGTTATGTCCCTTCATAATTGGAAAAAATGGTGAATTTTTCGTTTCCGTTCTCTAATTTTAGTATGCCTTAACCAAATGCATAAACTTATGCACAATGCTTATTACACAAAACACAAATCAATTTTGATTTTGGGTGGCGTCAAGTTTACAGTTCTCTAGTTATGTCCCTTCATGACGTCATTTGCAAGCTGGGGCTTCATCGGTGTCCCATGGACACATTTTCCATTATTACTTTATAATTTGCCGAGGTCAAGTACTCCTTCCCATTCTTGTGTTTACGTTAAGCAATTATAGGCGGTCTGGGAAATATATGTTTAG